AACAAAACAAATAAATATAAGCAGCATTTTCCCTTTATGGCATTATCCAAGCGTCTACTCTGTAAAAGTTACACACAAAGAAAATGGTGCACAGGGCCAGGGCTGCTTTACAAAATGCTTCACACGTCTGCGTTTCCACGCGCTGAGGGCAGTGCAGGCAGAGCAGCTTTATTCTGCTTATGGCACCCAGTGTCAGCACCCACATTTGTGGCAGGGCAACACAGCACCCAGAAAAGATAAACACTCAGTGACGTGTCACAGGCTTTCGGCGAAATGAGGAAGGGCAGTCGGATACTCAGGCTCCTGTTTCGATATCTTAATTACATAATTAGCCTTGCTCAAATCAGGTCATGAGGCATTCGATCCAGCTTCCTTCGCTGTCCTCGTGCTGTCCGTGCCCTGCAGTTCTCACAGCAAGGCAGCATATGGGGCCTTAAATAATCCCAGAGTGTGGCAGAGGCTCAGCGATGGGTGGTGGGACATGGAGCAGAAGCAGTGTTTCCAGAGCACCTGGCAGGTGATCCAGCACCAGTACCACTCCCATTGACATCACTCTGTACAAAAAAATCCCTCCTGCTCTCACAGGGACAGGGCCTCACCAGGCTGCCACCTCCAGCAGGGGAGCCCAGAGCTTTCCAGCAGCTCCATTTTCCATTCCTGGGCAGATCCTCCTCCAGGTACCATACTTCTAGTGGCTTTTCTGGGTATCCTCAGCAATGGGCTCAATGAGCAGCAAAGCCAAACCTCAGACCAGCAGCCCCAGTAAAAACCTCAGAGCCCTGAGGAAGGAAAATGCGTAAGGGAAAAGAGCTGGAAAGAAGAAACTTGCATGTAAAAGTGAGAACTACTGATCCTCTTTTGATGGCTGCGTACAGTAAAGCAGCTTTTAATGAGGGTGTTCAGGGCTCAGACTCGCCCCCCTCCAAACAAGCCACTGAAGAAAGAGCAGAGACAATGGAGACAGGCCCTGCCGCCGTGTCCCGCTCAGCCTCACAGCCACAGCAGCCTGGGATGGCTGTAGCTGGCGGTCAGGCCTGGATGGGCCTTTTGTCCAATGCTTATACATGCAATGAATACACTAAAGCTTTACATGAGCCATTTCCTTTTCCAAGCAGGATTTCAGGATGTGTGTTCTGGATACCGTTGCTCACCGTTCCTCTCTCCTGGTGCACAAGACAAGGTGAAAAGCAGGAGGCCTGGGCAGGGCAGGCCTGTGAGTGTGCCAAGCATCGGGTACCACCCTCACCCCAGCAACCCTGCAGCCCTGCAGGGTGACACTTCATCACAGGGAAAACTCATCCCTCCTCCAAGCAAATCACACCACACAGGGGCTGGCCAGGGAAAAGGATACCTGGTCATGGCCATGCCAATGCCTGTCAGTCCCTGCACTGAGGGGTCTGAGCAGTGCGAGGCTCCAGCAACACGAGGTACCAGCAGAGCTACGCTTCTGCCCCATCTTCTAAACTCCACTCGCCCATTGCTCCCAGTGCCGTTTTGCAGCAGCCTCAGCAGCAGAGCTCGTAGAGAAGCAGGCCCAGAGGGCTGCAGGCTCTCTTCCCAAAAGCTCTCTGGCACTGAAGAGTTGCACGGCTCCAAGCCTCTCATTTCTGTGAAAGCCTCTCTGCAGCTCCCCGAGGACAGGCTTGGCTCAGCACCTATGATTAGTATCAACTGTACTTTCCAGGGGGGGTAATTAGTTCAGGTGAGGCAACTCCTGACAATTGGCTGCTGTGGGCCCTCTCTTGGCAAGCACCTGAATCCCAAACAAACAGCTCAGATATCAAAGGGGCTGCCTGCTCCACAGGGAGATCCACCCTGTACATCTGCCCCAGCCCCATACTGGGGGTACCGACAGCTTTTCCCGCTAGAGATGAGGGAAACCTGGAACACTCAGCACCGGTCTCTAGCAAGTGCTCCCTGTTTTCACTGCTAGATTTTAGGTACCCAGAATAGCTGTGTATGGTGGAAAAAAGTCCCCACTGTGCAGGTGGCATTGCAGAGCCTTGGATAGGGTGCACACAGCGATACACGACATCCTCCTTTCCAAAACCCCCTCTCTTCCAGCCAAGAGACTGAGTGCCAAGGTGTCAGGGTGGGAGAGCAACTGCCTAGAGGTAAGTGGAGGGTGCGAGCTTCAAAGAGGAAACTTCACTGGGAGAGGGTAAGACAGCGCCATGCAGAAGGGGAGGGAGCAAAGGCCAATTCATACACCAGACTAAATTTATCGGCACAGTCTAATGGGATCCCAAGTAACCTTACAAGTGAAGTAGCAAAATAAAACACTTAAGCCATTGACAACCAGACTGGTCAAAGAGCCGCGCCGAACAATCCCACATTGTCCGGAGAGCCAGGAAACACATTTATTAGGTCACCCAGGCCATCTCCAGTTTCAGTGAAATTGCCCTGTTCTAGAGATGGTTCCAACTCCCTCCTCTGGCACTGCCACTGTCCTTCACCGGGCAGCGGAAACCGCAGGAAGGGGAGGGGAGAGGTCCAGCTAAAGACCTCACTTTTTCAAGGTTCAGGAAAAGCACTGAGGTAGGACACTGCTGTCGTGCCAGACATTTCCCAGTTTGGATTCCCTTGGACTGAGGCTGCTCTGGTGGAGGAACAGAAACGCATCCCTACAGCTCAAACAGCAAAAGACCTGCCACAGAGATCGGAGCTTCAGTTCCTCCAGCATCAAGGGATTCGGCTGCCAAATGCTTGGCGACTGCCCCAATTCCAGGTTACGCTTCCCAAGCCCCTCGCTAAGGCTCTGAGTACGGGCGTCTTTGCCAAGCAGCAACACTCTAGGCTCCTGAACAGGTTTCCCCTCCTCACCTTTTAGATCCCCTGTCTGCTGCTCAAAAAGGTAGCTCAGCAAAGAAAAGTGATACCACAAACCTCTCGATCCTCAGAGCTGGGGAGACACCCGTGTTTCTGGAAGCATGGACTGCCACAGCACCCACGTATGACAGGCACTACAGAACCACTGAACTGCAGCCAGAAGATGCCATCAGCCTGGGCATGGCTCAGCCTCAACTCCCAGCTGCCAGCAGACACCCAGCAGCGCTCTGCGTTCACCACCACTCACCAGGGCATGGTTCCTAGTTTGGATCAGCCCAGATACTCAGATTTTGACATGGACAAAAGGATCTACAAAATACCTTCTACCACTGCATAGGCCAGCCACCCTTGCAGAGCGGCAGCCTCTTCGTCAGGAGAGAGCAGGTGTCAGTCCTCACTGAAGTGCTGGGAGCACGCTGCTCAGCACAGCCAGCTTGCTGCTTTTGCAGAGAAACTGAGTAATTTGTAAAGCAGCAATTGCAGAGGCGTCTGAATCTGTTTCCAGTAGAAAGTAGTGCAGGAGGGCCTGGGGAATAATGACTCAAGGAAATCAACCATTCCCAAGCAGACACCTCCAGAGAAGAAAACTTGTAGGAAATGCTAAAGCAAGGATGTGCATCTCCCTTCCCTTGTATTTCTCACCAAACGCAAAGCACCCTGGAAGCTCACCTGGAGGAGGGAAACGTATAGCAACAGAAGACAAAAGAGGATTACGGTCTGATTGCAGTCACAAGAATCAAGACACAATCATTCACTGGTTCCACAAGGCTTGAGGGATAAGTGAGCGTGTTCAGTTTTTCAGCCCTCAGTGCACGCGTAACGAGCCAGAGCTTGCGACGATAGTTAAACCCAAATTGCATCAAGAACATTTAACAGTTTCAAACTTGTCTAGGATACGCAATCAGTTCAGACACACTGACTCCCTCATCAAGAATCCGGATTCAGCACAAATGATTTAGTACACTGGATTAGTCTCAGGGGTAATGACTAACTCCTAGAAACGTTTACACTATTTTTAAATCCCACTTGTCAGGGCAGCACCTGGAAACTGAATGACAATCCCAGGGAGATCTATCCCAAAGACAAAAGTTAAACAAGAGTACCTCAGGGTTTCCAAGAGTCGCTGTGACAGGCTAGTGCCACCCGGTGGGAAGGCTCATCTCCATTCCCCTTGCTCAGATTTATCCTCTGTTCCATGCTCCGGCTTCCCAGAGGCGAGACAAGGGAGCAGTAACCAGATTCAACATCAGAAAAAGCAGAAAGGGCTGGGTAGCCCTTTCAACTACTCAGACCTTGAAATTATCTGCCAGGTATAGGCCAGGTCACCCTATACTTTGGTCAGCAGCTTCTCAGCTATTGCATAGCTGAGACCGACCGGGAGGCTCATCTGCAAGAGGAACGTGTACACCAGTACCAGCACACTCCACAAAAATCTCTGCTCGTTACTGAGCTGGTTTACAGATAACAGGGGAACTGAAGATGAGAGGTACCACATCCCCATACAGGCTCTGGAAAGATGTTTGTGTGGCAACAGCTCCAGCTCCTCACACCATTCTGACTGCTAGAGACAACCACCACAACTGCACCAAGGCAGCACCATGCAAGGCCAGGCTGGTCACCCTCACCAGCTTCAACAGGCAGTGGGAACTCAGCTGAGCAGTTCTGTCTGTAACTGATCAGGAACAGAGGGACTGCACAAACTGCCCCTACCACAGAGACAAGACACTCCAAGAAGGCTACAAACAGCCAGGCCTGAAACACTGAAGTCACACACCGGGGACAGGAAGGAGACCACCTTTCCACAGGCATTTTGATCTCTCTGATGAGCACAGAGGTCTCCCCAGATGAGGGCCCTTTTTTCTTAGCTCTGCACAAACAGCACTGCTACAGCGCGAGTTAGACCGTGCTGCTGCTTGCACAGAAGGACACAGTGGAGACAGCTACAGCTGCCCTGGCAGCCTTACACCTCCTTCAAGACCTCCTTCAACCAGCTTCAATACAAGACCTCTGAACCAGAACGCTGCCAGCCCAGGACAGAGGAGATGGGGCTGCAGACAGACACACAGACAAGTTTCTAGCATGAGCCCTGACAAATCAAGACTGATTGGTCCAATACCTCACCAATTTGGCAAGATTAACGACGTCCACAAACACGATCCAGCAAGACACAGTTGACTCCAAGCAGAACCAACTCGACATAGGATATATTTATTAGTTATTTTTATACATTTAACACCAAGAAGACAACCACTTTGATGGGACTCATCTTGCCCCTGGTGCACAAGACATTCAGAGCCAGGGGGAACCTGTCACAGTCCACAGCTCCACTGTTTCCATTCTGCAGGAAAACATCCTACAAACGGATCCAATACATGGCACTGCGAATACGGTTGTAATCCAAGAGCTGTTCAATGGGACCTGAGGGAACAGAACAAGAGCCAGTCACTGGAGATGCACTTAAAATCCCCGTGCATTTTCCCATGGTCTTAAAGTAGATGGTGGCAGAGCACACTGTGCTCACAATCTAGAGCTGCTATGCACACACCTGCACCAGGAAAACCAGCAATACTATCTCCTGACAGAGAAACCGTTGCTTGTTTCCTCAGAATAAGTTGTTTCCTCACACTGTTCCACAACGCTCAGTACAGCTCCACATACAGGTATGAAGCACAGGGAGCTATCAAGTCATGGAGATTTTGGCTAGTTCACTCCAACTTCCTGTTCAAAAACCCCCTCCCCTTTCCAAGCTGCTCTGAAGGCCAGAGGAAACAGCTGCATGGCAGAGGGGAATCCACAGCACACAGGAAGAAGGCAGCAGAGTGGAGCCGAGCTGCTCAGGCAGGTTTTCCAAGAGGAATTTGTCCTTGGCCAGACAGACATGCCAGAGCAGCGCAGGAGATGCAGGTCCCTTCACTTCCCTTACATAAACCGCCATGACCCCGGGGTAAGGACACCTGGCAGATGCCACTGGGCCCGCACCCAGCTACGGGACTCCCAGTCTTAGTCACGGCTCCACAGCGAGCAGAGAGGTGGGAGGACAGCCAGCAGCTTGCTGCCACTGTGCGTCCACCACCTGCAGGTTTGATCTCCCAGCACATCTGCCTTGGCACATCTAGTGTGCAGAGGCAGGAGGATACCAGCAAAGAACCAGAGCAGTAAGGAGGCCAGCACAGACACAAGGAAAGTGGCTGCAGCTCACTTCCACTCAGCTCTTGACCCATTCCTGTTTTTTGAGCTACCAAGTACAAATTGCCCCATACTACTTACCAACTGCTGCAACTGCCGGGCATTTGTCATAGATGTATTTACTGCAGACATCTCTCACCATTCTTGCATCAACAGCCTAATAAATATTAAACAAGCAATTAGCAATTAACCCTTCCAGCAGATCCACATTTCTCAAAGTTGGAAGCTACTGTTGCCATTACATATCAAGATCATTAAAAAGATATCGTCAGACCCTTGGGGGCCACCTGCACCAACTGTCCAGCTCTTGTCTGTGAGGATGGCTAATATTCTACAGTGCTTTCTTCTGAGGGTGCAGAAGACATGGCAGTCCAAAATCTGAAGCCTCCCAAGGGATACAGTGGCTGCAGAATTATACAAGCTAGATGCTGGCCACCTCTAGGGAAACTGTTAAAGGAATTTCAAGTTGTGCTGCTCAACAGAGGCATGTGCCCTCTTTCAGGGATGGACTGAACCCAGCCACAGGGACACAGCATACACTGAATCTACACCAGAGACTCTGAAACATTTATATCAGTGTCACTGGGGTAATTGCCTGGACTCCAGGCAACCTAAGGGATAAGGAAGCCTCATGTTACTGCAGCAAAACAAAGCCAGAAAATGCTGACACCAACCATGCTCAGGTACTCCAACAAAAACAAATGGATACCTACAGAAATCCTGGCATCCCATTCCTCCAAAGGGATACGGCGTCCGTAGTTTAAGAGATGGCTCCCAATATTCTCACACACCGGGGTAGTGCCTAGATGTTGAAGATATCACACGGTCAGCATAGCAGAAACCCTTCCAGAACTGCTTCTGTCTGCTTTAACTGGCTGTGTAACTCCAGCCATTAAACAGCTTCTAATGAAGTATCAGTTGCAGTTACCTCTCTAAGCAGTTCTAGCAGGAGTTAAGCAATACAAGGACTGCTTCACTGGTCTCCAAACTGTTACAGCCTCAATTCTAACTTCACCAGGCAGCACATTATTCACTCCCAACAACAGAAAGACTAGAAGTTTAGAGTCAAAGCTAGTCTGGAGCACAGCAGGCTGGGGCCAGCTGCTTTGACAACATGGTAGGAGGAAAGCAGAGCAGGGGAAAGGAAGTTTTGCCCAGTGCCTGCCAGCAATGTCTAGCAGAGCTCCTGCTCCCCAGGGGGGACATAAGCAGTAACCCTCTGAAAGCTGCACAGTGGTCAATGCATAAATTGGAACATACCATCGAGTTGAGCCACCAAGGCATTTCGGAGATAGTTCTTGGCTCTCTTCACCTCTGACTCTGTGGTACTAGTGCACACACGCATCCTAAGAGGAGATGGAAAGACCACTAAAGCTCTTAAAGTTGTTTGTCTGCTCAGACAGAAAGTCTGTCTTTCCCAAGCCTCTACAGAAATAAGTTATTATCAACATCACTTGTCTTGCAAGCTTGAGATTCACTCTCAATCACCACAGAGCAGCTAAGAACTGGGGAGGACCGAACAGCAGGAGGCAAGAGAAAGAGCTCAGGCTTACAGGCAGGGGCTATCAGCCAGCAGGTCACATGCTGAGTTACACTCACAAAGGTCTAAGCAGCCCTGGTGCTGGCTCTAGCTTGCCCATCAGGCACAGCAGCAAGCGGTCTGCGGCACGCTACCACAAGAGAAGGAAGGCCTGTCAGCTGTTCCCACGCATGGCAAGCTGCTATGGAAACTGATGCTGAAAGAACAAGACAGTTTTACAGAGTCTGTTTGGACTCCAGCTGCGAAATCCCTTCCTCCCCTGCCAACTGCAATGTCTCTGGGGCAAGGGCTAACCCCATCTGCTCCAGCACAGCACGGCTCGGCTCTCAATCTCAGATGTAGCATCAAACCATTAGTGGGATACACAAGTATACAATAAGACAGAGAGACAGGAGGCCCCCCTCAAACACTGGCATGACTCCAGCTGCAGGGCATTTATCAGCCACAACACAGCAGTCTGAAAGGCAGGAACTCTGCCTGCTCTGCTCAAGCTTAACAAGACAATGGAGATGTCTCCTGAGCACCTGTGAAAGCCCTGTCTCTAAGGAATGATCTCACTTGTACATAAGAAAAAAACAAAACCAACCAACCAACAAAAACCCTAAATCAAAGCCTCAGCACTAATACTTGGCAGCATGAATGAAAGACCTGAAGAGCCTTAAGGGATTAAAACAGCTCCTCAAAAGCCACATCCTAAGACAGTTACAAGAAACCACTTACAGGATCACTTAACCAGAATGGGAGTTAGAAAGGAGTTCACAAAGAGAGACAGCTCTCTGAAGACCTAATATGCTCCCCACCAGCTCAGTTTCCAAGAGGGTCAGATCTTAAACAGGAACTCTTGCTGAATTTGTACTTACCACTCCCCCTGAGCACAATACAGCATGTCATCTATGGAGAGAGGGTCGGAAACAAAATGGAAACCAAAGAGGCCAGTATCAGAGTAAGAAGTGTTGAATGTCTGGAAACTGTGGCACAGATTATGCTCCACAGCAAGCGTAGCCAGCCTGCTGGACTGATTCTGTAAACAAGGAGATACCAACAGCCATTTCAGTCTTACAGCTTCCTCACGGCTCACATTCTTTCCAACTGAGCTGTTTTCACAGAGACCACAGACAAGACAGAGTGGACCACTCTGCTGAAATAGAGCTTAATTTAGGCACTTCATGTGGTCAACAGATGAGACTCACTGGTGGAAAAGCCACAGACAATGGCCTAAAGAGTCCATCCAGCAAAACCATTTCCTTTCCCAGCTGGAGATGAGGAGCTGGTATGCATACCACCAGCCAGTGGGAGACAGCAGGAAGCACAAGGACTCCCAGTAGCAGGAGTTCACACAGTTACGCAGGCCAGATAGGTTTCAGATGAGAATGGATGTAACATTGGGGTTTTAAACAAGTTCCACCTGTTTGCAGTTGTAAGACAAGCTTGCATTGTGAGACTACAGACTGCTCCATCCTGCTTCCATTTCTGCCCCTACTGAGCAGTTAAGTTTGTGAGGGTAGAAATAAGCTGCTGAGACCTCATCAGCTAAACCTCTTCCAAACTTAGCAGAAAAGGCTCAGTTCATCTCCCAGTATCACCTCTCAAGAAGGGTCCTGGATTAGCCTCGATTACACTTCTATCCTACTTTCCAGACTCCTGACCACTTCACAGTTGGAAGCTCAGTGCAACAGCCTCCCATGAAGCACATTCAGCCAGAGTTTCCATCATATTTCGTACTGTCACACTCACAAGTCTCTTACCTTGCCACCTCCAAATGTGCGGTCATAGCGGCCAATGATAGCGTTAGCCACATGGAGGACAACGTTGTCTGGATCAGCCCATCCTGGCCCCTCCACGGCAAGAGCAATATGGGCAACGGGCAGATCATCATCTCTGGCACGGATCTAGAAAATCATCAAGGAGCGGGAGAGAACAGCACGAGCACTGTGGCTTTGTCTGTAGCCTGCTGCAATGCCAGCCTAGCAAATCTAGGGACTCGAGATTACGCCAGTGAAACAAAACAGTCTCAAGCGCTACTGAGCGCAAACCAGCTGCTCCGGTATGAGTTTCCCAGCAGATGATATGAGCAACAGACTCACATTCCTAATGGACTTGGGACCTAAACCTCAACATATCGTGGGAAATAAGCCCCAAGAAGAAAAGATGGAGGCACTACCAAGATTCTGCATCATCAGCTTCTCTGAGATTCACAAACAGATTTTTCCTCTTAGAAGCAGCTGTAATTGGTTTCACATTCATTCAAAGTTTGGCAAAAACTGCTTGTTTTTTCAGGACCAAAACAACCTTACCTCACTCCCGGTGAAGCGACAGCGCGGGAGGGCCGGCACAGCATCATCTTTGTATGTAAACGGCACTCCACTGAAGTGTTGCTTGGCTACATCTACCAGCTCTTTGTGGGAAATACCTGGCAATGTGAGAGAGAGAGAGAGAGAGACAGAGATTTGCAACCTCAAACAGCTTAATTTAACAAAAGCATCTGAATTTACATTAGAGCTATATGACAGGGGTTTGATGACCAGCTTGAAAATACCCAGGCTTCCCAAAATCACAAGGATCTAGGACTTACCTCCAGCAGCTGCCAGGACCATACGAGGTGCCTTGAAGTGAGTATCAACATATGAAGCGAGATCTGATCGACTCAGATGCCTAGAAAGAACACAGAGAGACCCAGTATACCAGCACCGCCGAGCTGAAAGGATGAGAGGCTTAAGAGAAGCAAGTTCACAATGCAGAGACAGTAGTGATGTTGTTGACTCTCGTAGCTGTCAGGTAACAACACTTTTTAGAAGCAAGACTGCACTGTCTGTGTTTTCTCTGTGTCCCCAGAACCCAGAGAACAGAACCCAGGGTCCAAGATGGAGAGTTAAGGACAGACTTCAATACAGGCTGGAGAGTGCTGACCCTGGCCACTGAGCTACCAGTACCTTAATGGGTGGGTGTGCTCAAGGCCACTGCTTCAATGAGCATCCCTAGCTCTTAATTCCTCTAATGGTGTCAAACTGACAAGTGCGGGCGAAGGTTCAACCTGGCCCTACCAACCTCACATCTTGCGTGAAGGGGATTCTAGAGAAGAACGTGTGCAGCATGACACTTCTAACAGGGAAAACACAGTCAAGACACAACAAGAAGCCCATGGGCACGGATCACCTCTATGTATAGACTGGTTTCCTCACCCCAAGGACTGGACCTGTGTGTTGCGTACTGCGTCCAGCCTGTTGCTCACCTGATGTTCTCTGTGGTCCCCTCGACAGTGTGGGCCAGCGGAGTCCCCTGGTAAGCAGTGGCATGAAGGTAATCAAAGGTAACATCCACCAAGCTGCTGTCGATTTCTTTCAGCTCCTGAAGGATGACACCCCGTTCCTTCTCGATCTGAGACTCCTCCAGCGCGCAGTTCTGCACAATGTCAGCCAGAAGCTCGACAACTGCAACACATTCCCTACATTAGCAATCCTGTTGCCTAACTGCTACACAGAACTGCTGGAAGGAAAAAAGACACACGGGCAGCAGGGGCACTGCAAGAGGAGGGAGCAACAAACCACACTGCGGAGGGGATGCAACATAAGAGAGACGAGTACTACCCACTCCCCCAGCACCAAAGAGAGACAACCAACACTATTTTAGCATGAAGTCTCCAAGTCAGCTTGCAGGCAACAACTGCAGAAGGTGAAACATGTCAGGAGCAGGGTGCTGTTGCAGTAACACATTGAATCCTTACAAAGAGCTTGTGACATCCACAGCATAGCCCGCATCTACAATAGGGCTCCGATTTAGGGAATGCTACGACTGCCTAGAGATCAGCAATAGTGACAACAGGGTTGAGTGCCTATGGGTGAGAATCAAGGGGAAGGCCAGCAAGTCAGATATCATGGTGGGAGTGTGTTACAGACCACCTAACCAGGATGAAGAGATAGACAAAGTCTAGGCAGCTGGGAGAAGCTTCGCATTCACTTCCCCTTGTACTTGTGGGGGACTTAACTTCCTGGATGCCTGCTGGAAATATAACACAGCAGAGAGGGAACAGTCCTGGAGGTTCCTGGAGCGTGTGGAAGATAACTTCCTGACACAGCTGGTGAAGGAGCCCACAAGGGAAGGTGCCCTGCTGGACCTGCTGTTGCAAACAGAGAAGGTCTTGTGGGGGATGTGATGGTTGAAGGCTGCCTTGGGCACAGTGATCATGAAATGGTAGAGCTTTCAGTCCTTGGAGAAGCAAGGAGGGGGGCCAGCAGAACTGCCACTTTGGACTTCCAGCAGGCAGACTTTGGTCTGTTTAGGGACTTGGTTGGCAGAGTTCCTTGGGAGGCAGTTCTGAAAGGCAAAGGAGTCCAGGAAGGCTGGACACTCTTCAAGAAGGAACTCTTAAAGGCACAGGAACAGGCCATCCCCGTGTGTCAGTCAGAAAACGAGGAGCAGGGAAGAGCAGCCTGGCTGAACAGAGAGCTCT